AAGCTTCGAGGCAGGTAAATTTTCCTCGAGGAATTTTAGTAATTGAGGTACTCGAATCATTCGAGGAATCGTTTCAGCCCTATTTACTCTCTTCCTAATATAGACCACCTATTAAGTTGCAGTAATCCAAAGAATCCCATATTTGTGGAGCTTTGGAATCGATCTTACATGTGTGGATGATCTTGATGATTGTAGTAGATGTTCTTAAACTCTTTTCACTTGTTCTTGCTTCATCACATCTAAATTGGGTTGACTGACATAAGGTCAAAGTACCTAAAATTGTATCAGCCATTTTCACTACTAGTTGTAGCAAATTGGGGGAAAAAAAAAAAAAAAAAAAAAATTTTTCCCCAAATTTTTTTTTTGTTTTCTTTTTTTTTTTTTTTTTTTTTTTTTTACAAAGAGAGGATAGGACAAACAGATTGATGAACTTACAAACTCAAAAACACATTACGTCATACATCATTAATGCTAAACTTTCTGGGCTGGTTCGGGTAGGTCTGCCCCCTTTCCAGAGTAATTGTTTCCCCAGTCTGCTCTTAAGTTGATTTCCTCGGCCTGGAAACAGGAAACAGGATTCCAGTTTCAGGGTTTCAAACGTCCTTTGATAGAGCACCTTCAATGTGATTAATTTTTCTCGGGTGGTGTCAAGTCATATTACTAAAACCAGAGTGACTCTAAACTTAATTAAGCAAGATTTTCATCAGTCTCTTGACATTGTTAGAAGCCTGCATGAAGAAAAAACCCCTTTTGATCTTCACCTGATGTAAGCCACACAATTTATATTGGCAGCTATTGTAAGGATGAGGCATTGATTCCCCTGGGTCTGACGAACAAGGTCTGTGAGGTTTTCTTTCTTTTAGTTTTTTTTTTTTTTTTTTTTCCATTCTGCTCAATGATTGATCTTTGTGATTGTGAAGGCTGTTTTCTATTCTGAATGGAAATGCAGTGAACCCAGCAGAAAGGCGACATTCCTGCTGCACAGAGCGAAGACTGGTGGCCTTTCTCGGACTCAACTGTCTAGACTTAAAAATCTGAAATCCAGGTAAATGTCAGGTGTTTTTAAAGAACGTCATAGGCTACATTTCACTCCTCTTTATTTCACCCCCACTCCATCCTCATCTTTCATTGCCTTTCCTCTCCATGATGTCTGTCTCTAATGTCAGTGCCTTCGGGGTGAGTAGCTCAGTATGATCTTTTTCCCTTCATCTGTGGGTACACTCCCTTCTTCCTTTTTAGTTCTCTCCTCACACTCCCCTCTTCACCTTGTTTCTGTGATTTGCCCGCCCTCCTTTCCTGTTTCATAAGTCCAGATATTCCCCTCTCTGTCACTTTTTGTCTGCATATAGAGAGAGATAAAAATCTCTAAGCTCTGAATTATGTGGCTGTGATAAAGGTCACAGTCCTAATCATCCTGGATGACGACGACTGGATCCGGCGGCAGTCATTAGCGGCAATCTGTCTGGAACTTAACCAAAAATGGATCCCAAGAACAGATTTTTACCTCCAAATCAAAGAAAGATCTATTTGGGGGTAGAGAAGTTTCATCTCTTGACTAAAAAAAAGTTCCAAAAATGCACATATAGTGAGACTTAAGGGTGTAGTAAAAATGTTTTTTAATATTACATTAGACAACTACATTTATTGTAGGAAAGACTGCACTGACTCAACACAATGAAAACAATACGGCAATAGATCAATAACCTGTAGTTGTCAGACAAAATCAAAAGATCCTCTCAACGAATAACACAATAACAAGACAAAGCGGAAATAACAGCAAGACAATAACAAGAATATACTGAAAGTTAAAGGTCTAAATTATGATTAAGATAAGCATGATTGAATAAAGCACGTTGAATAAACATTAATGTTGTTTCCACATATCATCTCTGATGTCCGCTGGACTTTCCCCTCAGAAAGCATGGAGGAGAATCTGCGCTTTCTGATTGGCTACCTGTCACATTCAGCGTTAAGCTCCCAGTTGGGGAAAACCCCGTATTTAGATCGGAGCGGCCACGACGATCCAAATCACACTACAGGATGATCGGTTACGAAATCACCAGCGACAATCTTAGATGGGCCAACAATCTACGATTGTGATAAGGAGAAAATAGGGGCAAAAAATCGTGTAGTATGAACTACTGCATTAGGTAGTCGGATGTCCTCATCTTCTCTATTTAAATCTAGTGATTACTGAAGGCCAATACAGTATACAGACTTCATAATCTGCACTCTTTGGTTGAATGCAGTATTTATTTCCACTTTGGCTTTAAGTTTAGTTTTTATTCAAGTACGTTTTTTGTTAATGGAGACTGAGAGTCCATTTTATTTTTGTTTTTGGTTGTTTTGTTTAGTTTATCAGTTCCAGTGTTATGTGTTCGTTTGAAAATAAAATGTATCTATCTATGGCAGGAAATCGCATGCATTATTACGTCATTTCCATTAAATCAGTGTCAAAAGGTCTTGAAACAATATTATCGTTTATCGCAATAATTTTTTAGACAATCGCTCAGCAAAATTTATCGTGACAGGCCTAAGCATGATGCAAAACACTGTACCAACAAGACTGACACGTTAAACTGAGCTGAATAGAAAAGGCTTTACATGTAGTATATCTAGCTCTTGGATGTGATTCAACTTGGCTTCGATTCAACTTGCAGGCAAATTTATGCACACACACAAAGGCTCAAACTGAGAGCATATGATAATTATTTAATTTCTCTTCATGACAAGGTCATCAAATACCAACATTTAGTCAAAGCCAGTGGTGTCTCGGAGGCAGGATTCACTAACCTGACACACCAGATGGTTTGTTGCACAAAACCATCTGGTTGCTTCTTTGTGCAAATACCTTGCTGAATGGAAGGATTTTTCAAAAGTAGATGACAGAGTAGACCATGACAAAGGCATCTCCGTTATGCCAGTCAAACACAAATCTCAATAAATTGCATCAATGAATCACTGCAAATGAGATTTAGTCAAAATAATGCAGAAAAAATTGTCCCTTTTTTGACATTTTAAAATGTTGCCGTATCGAAAAATTAAAAAATAATTCATTATTGACTGCACTAAGACCAAAACCTAAATTTTCACTAAGTTCACAATTCTATCCAAGACTGATTTTCTCTTGTGAAATGTTGATATGTTTAAAATGTGCAAAGCAACCTCAAGGAGACAATGTTTTGGCTTAAAAAGAATAAATAAATAAAACGGACGTCATACTGAAAAGACGCTGCTTCACTCTTTGCACTCATTGACTGGATGATGTGATGCAACTCCCAAACACCCAAAGTACACTTTTTATTGGTTGATCAGTCCAGCTTAGTGTGATTTGGGTGGATCTGCAATTCCTGTTGTAAGACTGTTCTTCAAAACATTGGTAACAGAAATGTTTCTAAAGAAGTCATATAGACGATACTGTGACCTGTCCTAAACGCAGTTCTTTATCTAGTCCGGAGAACTTCACAACACATTCAGTCATTCACCCATTCACTCAGCATGTGATTTCAAACATTCACACACTGTAGTAGTGTAGTCCAGTGGTCTCCAAAGTCTCTGCAGAAGCCAAATCAGGAATGTCTAATAAAGAGAACTTCTTTTTTCCCCCCCTCTAACTTTTCTCTCAAAATTACAAGTAGTTTGTAAAACTCTAAATTATCCAATCAAAATAATATATTTTTTTACATCTGGGAATTAAGTAGATAGTTGATCTTGTAGCTTTTAATCATCTTATTTTTCCGATAGAGAAGGTCCAGTTTTATTTAACTCATTTAGCCAAGGGTCAGTACATAACAAACATATGTTGGTTCTATTCATCATTGGCTTGATCTGAATAGTTAATTCTCTTTGGTTCCTTTTGCTTTCTGTTATTTCCTATGTGATAGCTAGACATTGGCCCATTAATATTGACACATTTCTCCATATAATCTCAAATATGTTGTTAGTTTTTTTCAAGCTTATTCTTTCAGTAAATACTATAAAACACCCTTAGCAATTCAGCTTTTGTTGCCTGTCATTTAATAGTGCAGATCAAAGAGGGAAGCCCAGCACTTTGAAAACACCTTAAACCAGTTTACCAAACCAGCAAAGTGTGTGATCAAAACGAGAGTTGCTGTCTGCAGGTGGTAGGCTATCACGCCTTTACCAGTCTGTCAGTCAGTCAGTCAGCTTTCGAGCAGTCCTCCCAGCGTCTCTCTGATAGCTCTCTAACTCCCCGATGCTATCTATTACTATACCTTGGTATCACTCCATCACCCCTGCAGCGTATCTTCTCTGTCTCTCAGAAGCTCCCCGACCTTCCTCCTTTGCCACCTTGCAGCTTTCATGATCTCCCTCGCTTTTACTGTTGTGTGTGGATCGATGGCTTAGTGATGTGCTGGATGTCAGGCCACCTGACAGAGGACGCGGGAGGCTCAAGAGGGACGCCAGGGGACGCGGCATGACTTCGTGTCCGCTCAGCGTCAGAAGGATGGCCGTGGCAGGGAAGGTGCAGGTAGGACCCTGCGTTTGCCTGTCCATTGATTCTCATCAGCTGCTTTAAGTCCATGGCAACTAAAAGTCAGAGGAGAGTGACCCCAAATCTGCAGCATGAGTCAGCAGGGATTTAATGTTTAGTCAAAGCAGCAAAGAGCATTCATAGCAGAGGTTGTGCTAATAATTTCACAATGTAACAATTTCATAAGCAGAAACTGAATCACGTGGGAGACTCGTGGTGCCTGTGCTAGCGTGTGCTCCTCATATCTAGGATTTATTGCTGGCTAAAGCAAAGTTTTAACGCAGACCGACATCTCTCTGTGGTAAAACTAATTTCCCATTTGTCCCTTTTTTCTGTCTTTCTTTCTTGCTTTCTTCCCTTCTCTCTGTTTTTTTTTTAAGGCTGTCCACTTTTCTTCCTCGACCCCAAAAATAATGAGTCCTGTTCCGCTCTTTTAACTGTCCCAGACACATGTTCAGACTGCTTGATTACCTGTGTGCCATTTGTGGACAAGGCACTGGCCTCAACTGTATTTCCCTCTGATGGAAGAAAAATGTCATTCTGACATGTTCTGTGTGCGATCCAAGCTAAAAACTCATTCAACTGTTCCAGGAAGAGACTTGCTCTCATCTGACTGTTTTTATGGAGCACACTAATGCAGGGTTATGTGCACTTTATATAAGTTTGTATCTCTAAGGACAAGTGATAAAATAAAAATAACATAAACTACAGTTAAAATGCATATAATGCATATAATAATCTATATTTTTGAATATATTCCGGTAGTTGATGTAAAAGCAGTTCGCTGTGAAGCAAAGCAGCAGGGAATTATGGGGGTTCACATAGCAGTGCCATGTCCTTCAATTCTTGAAGATCCCATCATTTGGTTTATTTTTGAACTGGATTCACAAATGATCACTATAAACATGCAAGAGTAAAACTGCTTTAATGACTTAGGGAGGCCAGACAGAAATTTGTCTTTTCTCAGCTCTTCTTTTTATTTTCAAATATCAAAATCCATCTTTCAAATTCACAATTGTCCATTTCTGTCTGTCACACAAAATCCCCACAAAGTTTACAGAAAGTTAACACAGATTACAAAGCTGTGCAGGTTCACCCCTCCACTCGTTGACGCTTGCCTCGTTTTGAGTTTGTTGTGCTTTCTCTCCAACTTGATATGCAACCAGAAAATAAATGTGAGGACTTCCAGTCGAATCCTAGTGTTTTTCCTCACACGTCAAAACAACAGCTTGCATCGCACCTGGTGAACCAAACCCCCCAAAAAAAGAAATATGGCGGAGTGTAACAGGGAATAAATCATACCGCATCCGAGGCAACGTTTATCTCGAGTTGTGACATTCCTGCATCCCTTTTTCACTTATTGCTCCTTTCCGCCTTCTTTCTTCCTCTGCTTCACTGTCAGCTACCTCACAACAACGTGGCAAACACACACACTTACACACACACACAAACACCACTGCTCCCACTACTAAGTCACCAAAGGTCAGTCTCTTTAATCTCCACTGACACAGTCGTTATTGGATTCTCCTCCACACCTCTAATGAATATGGATACTCATACACACATAATCTTGCTCATGGACATGTGCATGCACACACTCGTTTTGTAGATGCATCTTGTTGCCATTATAGCACCCTTGTGACTAGCAGGGCATTAAACGGGAAAATGTGTCCTCGCTGATACATTTGCAGACCGAAATGTTTTATCAAGAGAAATAGCATTCTCAGTCAGATGGAAGGTCGTGATAGCTTTAATTTCACACATGTGTAGGCACAACCAATGTGAGCATTGTGTTATGCACCCCTTGAAATTTGAAATGTGTCTCTTTTCCCTCTTTTTGAGCAGGGCAACATGTTAAGAGCTACAGATCCTTTTAATTCTTCAGTAGGTGATCATTTTCAGGTAACCATCTTCAGGCAAATCTTAAAAGTTAATTCCGCCTTATAATTAATTCATTTTTTTCAGTTTGAGATAAACAGCATGAGAAAAAACCAACAATGTTCTCAGAACGTGTCTAGAGGTTAATGAAACTTTTCCAAATGGCCAAGGGGAACGGATCGTGTTTCTTAAGATGGCACTACCATTCCTGAATCCGTCAAAAACTACTACTTTCAAGCTACAACAACCAAGTGGCTCATGCTGCATTTTGGTTCGCCATTGCAGGATAGATCATTTCCATGACTTGACTTGTGTTAATCCTTGAAGAGCAGAAAAAAAATTTATCTCAAAGAGGTTTGTTTGAAGTGCCAGTCAATTTCTCCACATATACAGAAAAGGTATATGTTGAACAGAAGGTTTAACTTTTCACCCTTTCTGCTGCATAATCATCATGGGGCTAAGCTTTTGACAAACCACAAAACCCATCTTTATACTGGTACATGAGCAGAAAGTGCCACAAAAAGGAGCATATTTTACTATAACCAGGTAAATGACAAAATAACGAATCAACCAAATGAATAAAACATATTTCCTATGGGAACTGATTGCAATTTATGGTGGCAGTTCTAAGCCATTAACTGTGATGCTTGTAAGTAATGTCATTACTAACTTAGGGGCATGTTTATGGTCATTATCAATTTGGAAGACCAATTTGTTCCAATGCGTTAACGTTGTGGATGACTTCTTAATATTTTATTTTTACATGTCCACATAATGTTCTTTCCTCGCATTAACATTGTTTGAAGTGCACCAGACCCTCCTCCAGCAAAACTGAACATGATGCTGCCACTTCTGCACTACTTCACAGGTAAGATGGTTTCACACCAACACATATTCAATTTGGGACACAGCAGACATCTGCATTTTGACCAGGCGATTCGCAAGGCGTTAATAATTTACATATAATTGTTTGGAAAAATAAACATAAAGCGTTTAGGCATATTTTGAGGCAAAACGTGTAAAAAACACGTTAACGTTATTCAGTTAACGTAGATTTTTTTTATTTTTTTTTAAGAAAAGTTGTTCTGTCTCCGATTTATTTTGATTGCTCTTTAGATACAAATGTGTATTTTTACAGGTTTTTCTTCAATCTTCCACGCTGCCGTTGCTTAACTGAGATAATAAGTGCCTCTTGCTGAATGCTCATTTACTGCAGCAGGTGTAGAAAGTAAGAGCTGCTATCTCGTCATTGCTGCTAGCAGGCCTTGCCTTGTTTCCATTATTGTCTCTCGCTGAACTATGAAATATATAAAGGTTAATGGAACAGTTAGCTAAGTCATGTACTGTAGTATTAACTTAATGACAGTACTTACATCTGACTCTAGGAGTCTGCTGCTCTCACTGCGTAAAAGCCTGAAGGCATCGCTTGATAACCATCTAAGCATGATGGCTTCTCTGAGTGGCACTTTCTCAAGGAAAGCTGCCATATTAAATTTTGATTAACTCTCTGAGACACTCAAATTTTTCTGTGCAACGTCGAACACCTGTAAAAGATAGAATAGCATTAATTTATGTTTTATTGAGAGACATATTGTTTCTTTGTAAGGTTTGGCCATTTTAAACGTCCTAATTGGAACAACGGGTTGAGCTAAAATCTAACCTCATTAGCCTGATTTTCAGCACATTCACTTTGATAAATAGTTTTGTTATTATGGAACCTGTTATCAGTGTTATGGAAATGTTTGCCTTTAGGGTAACATGAAGGTAGCGATTTAACTCCCAATTAAGAGAGAGAGAGAGAGAGAGAGAGAGAGTCAGAGGCAGCTTTGTTATTAGCGCTTTCAGTATAAACATATTTGCTTGCATGTAAGTGCAATGCAGAGACATCTCTGTTTATGTGCTCAGACTGTATTTTTTTAAGCAAAGCGTGTAGACGAAAGTATTTTCCAATCAGAAGACCCCTGGGAGAGAAATCGACAGAAAAATTTCACTTGATATCTAGTAGATGTTGCTATATAGTAAATGCCAATAAAACCCTCAATGGCAAAAATTTAAATTCCATCAAGGATGAAGGGGAAGATAAAAAAAAAGATAAGGATACAAAACAAGTCCACCTTTATCAAGAGAATTTTAGATTAATTTTAAAGAGACGTAGAATATTAGCATTGAAAAGAAAAAGTCTGTTTCAAGGAGTTTAGATACAGCTATGCTCTGATGTTTTTCTTTTTATATTCTTATTGAATCAGAAACTTGTGAATAAGGTGTATCATTTAAATTCTAACATTAAAAGTGAGAAAATAAAGTAAAGGACTAATCACAGATCTTTTGAGGACGGCCTACTTTTCAAGCAGTTTTACTCTGACTTCTTATTGCATCAGATTTGATCCTTGGATCAAGACAGCAAAAAGGGGAGGAGATGTCAAGGGGTTAATAGGAATATTTGAAAGAAACTAACCAAACTGATTATGTTTCTGTATACAAACTCTTTACATGTGCTTGCTAAGTTGTGTTCAGTTCCTTTCTTAAATGAAAGCTACGCAGTTTAAGGGACAGTCTCTTGACGTACGAGCAGAACAAAGTGGCCCGTAGACAAGACTGTAGTCGTCTTCAGTGTCATGGTGACAGTGACTTTATGGCAAAGACACAATGTAAATGAAGCTTTGGGAATTTTTTTTCTCTCGAGGCCTGTGTGTTTAGTAGAGTCAAACAGTTTTTGAGCATGTAGACGATCACGTTCTGGATTAACGGTTGTCAGTGACATCCTTCAGCTATAATGAAAGACAAAATATTTTTTGAAAAAAAAAAAAAGTAAGCTTTGGGCCATTTAAAATGGAGCTGTTGGAACTGAGATGCAGCTTGGTAATTTCTTTAATATGTTTAAGTCAAAATAGATATGATAGGTATATGATCCATTTATGCACATTTGTTGTACAGCAGTGTTTTTCAACCTTTTCTGAGCCAAGGTACACTGTTTTAATTGAAAAAATCTCGAGGCACACCACCAACCAA